TGTTCATCTGTTTTGTCTCTTAAAGTCCTCATATGAGTGAAGTCATATGATTTTTCTTTCTCTGACTAATTTCGCTTAGCATAATACCCTTTAGTTCCATCCATGTAGTTACAATGGCAAGATTTCATTCTTTTTGATTGCTGAGTAATACTCCATTGTATATATATACCACATCTTCTTTATCCATTCATCCATTGATGGACATTTGGGCTCTTTCCATACTTTGGCTATTGTTGATAGTGCTGCTATAATCATGGGGGTGCATGTGTCCCTTCAAAACAGCATACCTGTATCCCTTGGATAAATGCCTAGTAGTGTAATTGCTGGGTCGTAGGGCAGTTCTATTTTTAGTTTTTTGAGGAACCTCCATACTGTTTTCCAGAATGGCTGCACCAGCTTGCATTCCCATCTAATTATTTTTTAATATTTTATTAGCCAATATTAAACATAATTCTGAATAATCCTTAATATTAATTTTAAAAGTTCTACATGAATTCAAAATATTTTTGTGGCCAGATCTTAGTGATAATTTACCCAACTTTAGAACTTAAGAACACAGTGACCTAAATGATTCTTTAAAAAAAAATCTCTGACAAACTGTTTTTTGGGGGGTTGGGAGTGATGGACCTCTTTTATAGGTAAAATAGAGATAGAAATGCCAATTAAATGAGGATTATATTAGTGATCATTTGGCTTTTCTAGTGTAACTGAAATGAGAAGGAAAAACACTTAATGACATAAAAGGAATTTATTAGAGTTTTAATAACCAAGGTTTCTTTTTAAATATTTAAATTCTAATCTCTCAACCTAAATGATTTTCCCAGGAATATTTAGTGACATTCATTTGCTGGCTATGATGTACAGTGGAGAAATGTGTTACTGGGGATTGAAGCATTGTGCAGATCAACAGCCAGAAAATCATGAAGTGGATAGTGGTGTTTCCGGAGCAAGCTACACGACACAGAAAGAACCCTTGGATTTCCGAGAAGTAGGAGAAAAAATTTTGAAAAAGTATGTATCTGTGTGCGAAGGACCCCTGAAAGAACAAGAATGGAATACAGCAAATGCAAAACAAATTTTAAACTTCTTTCAGCATCATACCAACCAGTAAGTTCAGCTATTCTTTTTGAAACAGAAGAACAAAACAACCCGTGAAATGGAAAAAGTTCCAGAAAAGAAGACATATTGACACTGAGCTTAAGAATGTTACACTATGTAAAGATAACCAGCAGGGTTACCTATTTTTAAATGCCATCGCCATCTTTCATTACATATTTTTAAATCTATGAAGGAACAATTCTTTAATTTCTAAGATGGCATGTAATTTTAATTCAGCCATCCTGTAACTAATACTAAGTAGTAATCCAGTTTAGCTTTTTAGAATTTTTTTATTACTTTAGGTTTCTTTTTTTAATATTGTGACATAAAATTGACCACTTTAAATATCTTCAGATTATTTTTAGGTCTATCTTGAAGCTACGCTTCAGCGATTAAAATCAAGTCACCTCATTGCTTTAGATGGATAAAAAATGGGCAAAGTAGAAGATTACAGTATTTAGACTCCCATTTCCAGAATAAGATAAATAATGCAATGCCACAAGAGAATTGTTTGATTTTTTTTCACCATGTATTACTAATAGAATTAAAAATTTTTATGCTATTGGGCATTATATAACCATTTTCAAATGATTTTCCTGTTTTGTTAAAAGAAAATGGATGGCTTATCAAATGAGTAATGAAGGTGAAACCAATTTAGGTTAGTCCATCATTAGCTCATATGTGTTTAGAGCACACCTTTTTGGATGTATTGAAATTTTAATATTTTTGTCTTTAATAATAGAGATGGCCAGAGAACCTAACTTTCTATCTTGCTTACGGTTTTTCTGTCTACCTCAACTCCTCTTGTCATCTTGGGATGATCTGTCTAATACCTTGCTGATATCCTTGACTTCTGTGCCAGTGACTTCATCACATTCCAGGAGCTTACTCCCATGGCTACACCTTGAATGAAAATCACCATCTTGTGTTCTCTTTCTGAAATCTTAAATTGCAGTAACCGATAACAATTCCTATCTTTCCAGCTTTTTCACTTCCTCATTTTTGTTGATTTTTCTTTCCCTGTGTTTCTATTCTTTTTTTTTTTAATTTTTTTTTTAACGTTTATTTATTTGAGAGACAGAGCATGAACGGGGGAGGGGCAGAGAGAGAGGGAGCACACAGGAGAATCGAGTAGGCTCCAGGCTCCTGGAGCCATCAGCCCAGAGCCAGAGCCAGACATGGGGCTCGAACCCACGGACCCCGAGATCGTGACCTGAGCTGAAGTCGGATGCTTAACCGACTGAGCCACCCAGGTGCCCCCCTGTATTTCTATTCTATCTCTAGCTTCTTTACAGCCTTCTCCTCTTGACTGTTCCTCTTTCTCCTAAACCATCAGCCTGTTTCAGATTTTCTTCCTTTCCTCCAGCTTCAGCTTTATAAGGGTCACAAGTTGAAGTGCTCTCCACAGCCCCTTCAAGTCCGTTGTCCTCTTGTCCTTCAGTGTAACCATTCTGCACATCTCACCATTGAATTTATCCTGTCACCCACCTTTTCTGGAATGCTGTGTCCCATGTGAAGTTCATGTAACCCTTCAAGGTGTAATCCCTATGAGTGTCTCACCTTCGACTTTAGGAGAGCCCTCAGTATAAGCCTCTTGTTTGTTCCTGCTGTGGCTCCTCTCCTTTTCTCTTGGTGGCTAATCTAAACCTCACTACTTTTTTCATGTCCTCTATCTCCTCCCTTAGCATATGGCGCTTGGTCCGCTCTTACAGAAAATTCAGACTATGAGGAGTTTAATTTCTATTTCCCGGCTTTGCCGTACTCATTTTCCCCATTTTTAGAAGAAAAGAGGTCACCTGCTTCCTGTCTAAAGCTGATCTCCACCTCTCCTCATTTCCCCTGGAGCTTCTTTTTTTTTTCTGCTTGCCCCTTAGATATTGCTCCTCCCTCAAGGTCTGTTTTCTTTTTCCCCTCCCCCCCCTTTCCTTCTCTCCCTTCCTCCCAATCTCACTCTCGCTCTTTTTTTTTTTAACTTTAAATACTCTTAGGTGATGTCATTCATAGCCCTGGCTGCTTGTGACAGCTATAATGTTAGGCTGACTTCTAGACTTGCAACTCAAATCCCAGCTTCTCCTGCTCTCTGAGCCTTCTTTCTAACTGCCTATTAAATATCTTCACTCACACAATTTTGGTAATTCAGTATGTCCAAACAACTAACCCTCATCTTTTGATCTTTTGTTTAAAATCCTTTTTGGTTCATGTTTTTTCTTTCTTTCTTTTTTCTTTTTTCTTTTTTTCTTTTTTTTGGTCTTTCACAGAGCAAGGCAACAAAGAATGCCACAATCTAGTTTCTGTCTACCTCCCCAGTTTTCTCTCTGCAGTGCATCCCATGTTATCATGTTCTAGTTCAGTGTTCCTCAGCATTTACAACCCAGGCTGCTTTTTGATAAACATTCTGATAGAACATCTTGGTATAAGGAAAATCTCTCCCTATCCCTGCCCCTGTCTCCTTGCTTATCCTTACGCAACAGAGATTTTTATTTAATATAGCTTTTTAACCAGTTTTACTACAAAAATACCTTTGTGCTTTCTAAGTATAAAAATTTAGATCATTTTTAGTATGGTTTTAGAACCACACGTCCCCTTACCCCCACCTTTTGGAGCATGATGATCAATTGCAAATACTTCAGTTCCTTTCCCATTGGGCTCCCCTCAGTACTCTGCAGATCTCATTACTTCTGCCGGGAATGCTTTGCCCTTCTTTGTGGCCAGGTGAATACTTGTGCTTTAGGACTCAGCTCCAGTGATACTGGATCCATAAGGTTTTTTCAGCCCTTTTCAGTCAAATGTTCCTTTGCTTCTGCTCCCTTAATGTTCCTTCCCATGTTATCAAACAGGTAACACTGCTTTATAGTTCTTTTCCTTATGTGCTGGTGAACTCCATATTTAAAAAATGTATCTTAATACATTGTGCTTAATGAATGGTAGGCCCTTAGTAATGTTTTTTGGTTTTGTTTTATGGGGTTTTTTGCCTCTTTTTTTTTTTTTAATTAATAAGAGACACGGTTCTTAAGTGCCGAACTCTGCACAAAAGGGTTGCTGCTATTGGATTCCAAACTGCCATGCCCTCTACACCAGTGGTTAATAAGGCAAATAAGAAATTAGTTCTCAGAGAAGTAAAGTATTATGTAGATTTGGAACCTGAGAATACCATAACTTTCTCTTCATAAATGGGAACTTCCATTTCGCCTTTACGACCCTTGGGAGCCACTTGGGTCTCTCACTGGCTGGTGTAGTTATGAGGGTGCTACTGGGTGCTTTTTGTACAACTTTTCCATCCCCCACATAATTGGAGAATGATCTGTAGACCATAACACTTACAGTGCTTTTTACTAGGGTGTATTACAAAACAATGAACAACAGATTTTTGTATGTATGTGTTAAACCTAAGTAAATTTTATTTCATTTAAGTGAAGTATCTTCAAGATAACAAACACTCTACATCAGCAAGGCACTATAATTCCCTCATCAACAATTATTATGTGCCTACTACATGCCAGGTTTCATCTTAGGCATTGATGATATAGCTTTGTAAAACATCATTTTTGGGGGTTTATATTCCAGTGGAGGAAGTTAACACATTTTAAGAAATAAATGTATCGTGTATTAAGTGGTTAGTGCTATGAAGAATAAAGCAGGGTAAAGGGCTTGTGTGACTCTGGAGAGGAGTGCTGTTTTATGTATGGTGGTTGGGAAGGCATGCCTATCTACTTTAGCATTAGCGTCTTCAAATTCTCTCCCTTTGGTTAAATGCCTTGCTGCACATTCAGTACATCCATAAAGTTTCTTTCTTATGGAAGTTCTGATACAGAATTAAGGAACGAGTCAGTCACTACGTAAGACCTTTTTCCTTTGATTACATTTAAGACGTTTTCCAGTGTGGGCTTTACTAATGAGTGAGTGAGAACCTAAAGGCCTTGTTGTGTTATTACATGGGGGGTTTCTCTCCATTTTGAGTTCTCTGATTGTTACTAAAACTGTTAAAGGATTTTTTTTTTTTTTTTATAATCCTTAAATTTGTGTGTTTCTTTTGCAGTGTGAATTTTTTTATGTTAAGTAGTTAAGTTTCAAAGTAAGCTTTGAAACTTAAAGGCCTATCTGCTTTGTGGCATTTATTAGGTTCCTGGCTATTATGAATTGTTTGATGCTGATTAAGTTTCAAATCATGACAAGACTTTCCCTCATACCTTTGCATACAGTAGAGTGAAGTGAGTGAGGGTTGTGGCTAAAACTCCACAATAAAATTACATTCCTATCTTTACCCTCCCACTGTGGGTTCTGTGATGTTCTTTGAAGTGGGAACTGTATCTAAACGTATTCTCAGCTTCATTTTAATGGCATTCTTAAAAACACACAACTGGATAACATGCTAGTTTTGGATGGCTTGGCACTTTTCTCTTGCCACCTACGAGGGCTCCTTTTTTGGCTCTAATAAGGATACCTTATCTGCAACAGAATCCAGGATTCTGTAGTTCTCTAGTGTCACTTCCTTGTATTATTTTTAACACAGTATGAGATAACATGTTAGGAAGTATTGTATTAAAATGCATTTACTGTATCCATAAATAAGTATGTGATATGTATTCATGCTGAAGTTCTTTATTGTTTTTTGTTCTCTTACTTGTAGTGAAGATTTCCAAGTAAAATGTTTTGGAGCATATAATTTTTTTTTAATAAAACCATATTCCCATATTTGTATCTTGGTCTTTATTTTCTTTTATATCTGAGTGTTGTATCAGAATGAAAACTTTCATTGTCTCAGTTTACTTTGACATCTGAACATTATTTCTTATGGTTCTAATAAATTTCATACAGTATAGTATACTGGTTAGGAATATGGGCTCTGGAGCCAGAGATCTGAGGTTAAATATTAGCCCTGTTGTGTCCTAGCTTTGTGGCTTCACATAAATTACTTAAACTTTCTGTACCTTAATATCCTATTATTTAACAAAGGAGCACTATTAGTACCTACATCACAGGTTATTAGGGATTAAATGAATTAATGTTCGAAGTTGCTTAGTTTAATGCTTAGCACATCCTAAGAGCTCAAAAGACTAGTTTTTATTATTTTCTTTAGTTTTGTGTATCAGTTCATCATGCTGAAAATATACTTATCAGCCAGGATAATTGAGAGACAAACTCTTGTTCTGGCCAGTGAGCACTCACTCACTGCCTTGTCAGTTCAAGTGGTGCTGACCTTTCTAAATGGAAAGCAAGTTTCAGAGAAGAAATTACTGGCTAGATAGACAAATGTTTGTTTTAGATATGGCTAGAAGGAAACCTACAATTTTCAGAAATTTTTCAGCCCCAGTCTCACAATGTATATATATATCCCTGTATACCAACATCAACATTTACCTATCAGCTTGATTGACTTGGCTTCTAGTACCTTTAGGTCACACTGAACTGACAAGTCAGAGGCATTTAATGAAATACTAGTCATCTAATATCCTTAATATCCTGTTTAAAAAATAGATTAAGCTGGGAAATCCACATGATTGAATGGTATGTAGCTATAAGAAGCAAAAGCAAATATTTCTGTATAATGCTATGGAGTCATCTGAAGTGAAAAACAAGGTGGAAAAGAGTATATAGTACTATTTAAGAAAGGGAAAGTACTATTTAAGAAAGTACTATTTAAGAAATGTGTGTATAACCTTGTTTGCTTATATATATGTATATTATATATATAATATATATACATTATATGTATATATATACATTATATATATACATATATGTATATAATGTATATATACACACATATGTATACATACATATATGTATACATATATATATATACTTTTTTTTTTTAATTTAAAAATTAAAAAAAAAGTACTTCTGGTGGGAGGTATGGAGAGAGGTACCAGATGGAGGGGACCAGGATGGAAGCTAGACTTCTCTGAATATACCTTAAGTTTTGTACATTTGACTTTGGAGCATGTACTACATTTTTACAAAGCAAGATTACATCAAAATTAAAAGCAACTCCTAAAATTCCAAAGCAAAATACAACAAATGAGCTGTATTGTGCTTCAAGTTGGTGGCTTAACTACACAGGAATATTTCAATTATTTTTAAAGAACAATAATTTGCATTCCCCTAGTGGATATCCCCAAGGGCTGTGAAGAAATCAAACTTCCTCAGTAATTATAGTATTAATAACTCTGCTGATATCATTAGAAATGTGGATTTTCAGTGTAAGGGAAAAGAGACTAAATTGGAATCAAAGAAGGTAAGTAAAAATTCTGTAATTCTGAAGTTGAATAGAAATTAACAGCATGAACTCTTATTTTCTCTACATAAAGACCACCAAATAATGTCCAAATACCATTTCCCATTAAAATGAACCAGGGCTCTGGGGCACCTGGGTGGCCCTGTTGGTTAAGCATCTGACTTTTGCTTTCAGCTCAGGTAATGATCTCACAGTTTGTGAGTTTGAGCCCCTTGGGATTCAATCTCTCCCTCTCTCTCTCTCTGCCTCTCCCCCAACCCCATATATAACTAAACTTAAAAAAAAAAAAAAAAAAGAACCACAGCTCCCTGGAGATAAGGCTGAGTCTATATCATGGGCGGGACAATCAAATGGTTGATGAGGGACAACTTTTATTTAATCATCTAATCAAAGAGATCATAAAATTAGAATAGTAATACTTTAAAACTTGTAAACAATAATCATTGATAACTCCTAAATCCTTGAGATGAAAAGCTTATGATGAACTTGATAATAAATGGATCAGAATTTAGAAACCATTGATCAGTTTGAACATTAGAAAATGAGAATGACAATTTGAGTACACAATACCACTTAGAAATATTTTATAAAACCTATCTAAATTTGATCATGCCTTCCAAGAAAGTCCAGAATGTCCTGAAGTCCAGAAAGACCAGCCTAGTTTCTTTTAACAGTTGCCAGGAAAAATAAAGGAGAGGGAACCTATAGAATAAACAAGTTTTAGGAACATGTCTACCAAATGTAACATGTGGATCTTGTTTGGGTCATGATTTAAAAAAGCCAATTGCAAAATATAAATTAAATAAGTATATATATTTGAGGCAGGTGAGGAAGTTAAGCCCTGCCCAAGTATTTGGTGATTTTAAAGAAAGTTAGGTGATAATGGTACAGTGATAATGGTACAATGTTTCTTAAAAGTTACCTTAATTTTTAGAGACATATACTGAGATATTTAGGGATGAAATGATATATCTGGGATTTGCTTAAGAATAATCTCGATTTGGGGATGTGTGCGTTGGGTGGAGACGGTGATGGAGCAAGATAAACTGGTAACTTGAATCAGCTAGTGGACACATGGGATTACATTATTAACTCTAATAATTTTCACAATTAAAAAATTATAACCCATGGGGTGCCTGTGTGGCTCAGTCAGTTGAGCGTCTGGCTTCAGCTCAGGTTATGACCTCACCGTTAATGGGTTCAAGCCCAGGTTATGATCTCACTGTTAGTGGGTTCGAGCCCTGCGTCGGGCTCTGTGCTGACAGCTCAGAGCCTGGGACCTGCTTTGGATTCTGTCTCCCTCTCTCTCTGGTCCTCCCCCACTCGCGCTCTGTCCTAGAGTCTTAAAATTATGTATTTATTACTTTAGATTGAAATAATCCTTTAAGGAACCGAGATCTAGCTTTTGAGCAAAGTATTTTTTGGATTAGATTGAAGTAATCTATTTGAAAATGAATGACACAGTAGTTATTTGTGTCCTTATCAATAGAGACCATAGTCAGTTCAATATAATAGGTTACTCTTGTTGAAAAGAAAACCACAGGCCCCAGATGGAATCTCTTATTTTAAGGGCCCCACTTCAGCAAACCAAAACCATAATACCTAACCTACCTGCAGTTTCAGCCACCTGAGGAACGTAACCTTTAACCAGTCAACAAGGAATCCCTGGTCAGCACTAGGAAATTTACTGATAGACCTCTTCCATTCCCCTTAGGAGGGTGACCTTACAACAGTGTTGTGACTCTACAACAGTGTACTTTTTGCCAATAATTTCCTTTTTTTCCTTTTTTTTTTTTTTTTGCCTTTAATGATTTTTGTTTATTCTCTACACCCAAGATCGAGGGTCTCATGCTCCACTGACTCAGCCAGCCGGGCACCACCACCGCCCCACTTCTGCCTTTTAAAAACCTTCCTTTTCCTGCAGCTCAAGAGAGCTCCTTTCTTTTTGCTAGATGGGATGCTTCCATATTCATGAATTGGGCAATAAAGACAATTTGATCTTTTAAATCACTCAGTTGAATTTTTGTTGTTTATTACCTTGTAATGTGGCCTATGGCATAGTTTCTTAAAGTCCTTTCAAAGTAAGGCTGGACAAGGTGAGTAAAATGGATAACTGTTTTACAGATAAAAAAAACAACAACACTAGCAGGATTTCAACAGTACTGTATCTGGCTTCTCTTATTCTGGCCCTATGTTGCTGCCCTTTTGTGAGATGCCTACCTTTGGCAATTTTTAAATGTACCTATATTTTTAAGTAGAGAATACAGACTCCTCACCTTGGCATAAGGTCTTTCATGATTAGGCCCCTGGCCACCTCTCTACTCTCATTTCTGCCAATCCCCAAGAACACAAACAGTAAATCGGAGACTGAAAAACAATTAGAAAAAACCTCCACGCCTGGCACGGCAGTGCTGAGAAGGAAGCAACTGGTTATTATGCCTAAAACAGCGGAGGAGGGCAATCTATTGAATAAATGGGGATCACCTAGGCCCAGATGAAGTGTAAACAGGTCCCAGACAGAACGTCTTTGGGTGAAGTAACCAAGTTACAAAGGGCCGAGAGATTTCATGGGACCGAGTGAGGTTAGCAAGGCTGAGATCTGAAGTGAATGGGGCAGTGAGAGGTGCTTCGGGCTCCACTCGAGACGGCACCTCACTGGGCCACATCTCGATTCCCTTCCGGGTGCGGAGGCTGCCCGCGGGGAGACTTGGCAGGGGCGAGACCGGAGGTGCGGGGCGGGTAGCGAGCAGCCCGGAGGAGGACGCGCAGCGCGTGACCCTGCGGCGCGTCACGTGCGGCGTCGGCGGCCATGGAGGGAAGCGAGCCCCGCAGCGGAGGCAGCGCCCCGCCGCCGCACCACAGCGACTGGAGCCGGCTGGAGGCCGCCATCCTCAGCGGCTGGAGGAACTTCTGGCAGTCGGTGGGCAAGGAGAGGGCAGCGCCGAGGGCCTCCCAAGAGGAGGCGGACGAGGAGGCCAGTACCCTGACGCGGCTGCCGGTGAGTGGCGGCCACCGGACGCGGAGGACCGCGGGGCCGGGCCGGGAGGGGCGCCCCGCTCGGGCGGCCTTGGGGGCCTCGCCATGCCCGGGCCTGGGTCTGTCCCGTCCTGCAGCCATTCCGGGCCGTGTCGTCACCAGGGAATAACGGTAGAGCAGAGACGCCGAGGCGTTGACCTTTGGTCCTCCGCCGCGGGACCGATGGTCGCGGCGGAACTCACCGCAGTGGGGGCGCCCCGCTAACCGGCCGGGTCATCCTCACGTCTTCAACCCCCCAAAGCGAGTTTTGGTACTGGAACGCCCTGACGTCATTCAGGAAAAGAGGAGACCACGCCAGACTTTGTGGGTAGCCTGGGGAAGCCTTCAGCGACTGTGTTCTCAGCGGCTCTCACCTCAGGTTCAGGGTCCAGAACCCCTGGGGGACCCCCCCTACCCCCGGAAACATTCGGCTATGACGCTGTGGCTCTTCTCCCACCGCGCGTTTCAAGCACCGACCCTCACACTTCATTGAGAAGAAGTTACAGGCGCCTCGAGGGGCGACAGGCCACAAGAATTATACACCTCATTTATTGTTAAACTCTTCAGGCAGATGGGAAAATGGAGAGACGAAAAATTTCTTCCAAATTATTAAACTCTGTATCTCGGCTGAACTCTTGACACCTGCCTGTGACATCTATCAGAAATTGAAAACTGCAGGCTTAGAATGCCTCCAAGGGTCTCCCTTTTGTAGAGGTTCTTGGAAATAATAGATTTTATGGAGGAACTCAGATGACAGATTTATTCTTTGATTTGCTCTAATGACAAGATCAGAAGTTTTTCAGCTTCATAAAGATTTTATGTTGAAGGCTAGATTATGTAGATTATGTTGAAGGCTAGATTATTGTTCAAGTGAACGGTGTGGCAAAATATCCGTGAGAAATTAAGAATCTGGTTATTTTGCTTGAAAAATGAATGTTTCGGTGTGTCAAAAATTAAGTGTTCAGTTACGTTTCTCTTTTGGTGGCAGGAAATTAACTTCCAAATAGTAGATTTCATTATTAAGAATACTGACACACCGATCTTTGGTTATCTAGTATAATTCTTTACAAGTTTTGTAATTTATCATGATATAATCATTAAAAAGACAAACTCTTTGGTTGACCTTTGGTTTCCTAGTATAATAAAATAAATTTTATAATTTATTATCAGAAAACAATTTTCCAAGATACATGTTTCATGCCTTTTACCTGTTTGCTGTTTCCATTTCAGATTGACGTACAGCTATATATTTTGTCATTTCTTTCACCTCATGATCTGTGTCAGTTGGGAAGTACCAGCCATTATTGGAATGAAACTGTACGAGATCCAATTCTGTGGAGATATTTTCTGCTGCGGGATCTTCCTTCTTGGTCTTCCGTTGACTGGAAGTCTCTTCCAGATCTAGAAATCTTAAAAAAGCCTATATCTGAGGTCACTGATGGTGCATTTTTTGACTACATGGCAGTGTGAGTATCTAGTTTTATGAATTAAAAAGAAGATACTATATTTGACTATATTACAAGTCAGTAGTGTAAATTAGTCTTGGCTCTGCCACTAAATTGAGGATTAAGTTAAATGACTTCCTTCATAGGACCCTTTCGTTTTTCACATGTTGTTATTTGCCTGTGGTCCCTGACTCTAGACTATTTGAATAATTGTAGATAGTTCATATGCCAAGAAGTAAAACACTTGTTAAAATTTTCATTATCTATAGAATACTTGTTATTTTGTTAAATGATAAATACTTTTCTGTGTCCAAAGAAAGAATGATCAGCAATTAGAGACCAGTTCTTTAGCAGGAAAGAACAACATTCTCAAGATTCCGGGAAGTAAGATTTTGTTATCATCCAAAAGCACTGACACTTTTAAATATCATGTAGCTGAGAGAACTAATGTTCTTGAACAATTGTAATGCATTGGATTCTATGAGGGGTGCCCTTTGTATGTTTACTTAACGTGATTTTCACGCAATAAAGAAGGTAGTATCCTTGTGTTACGGATGTGGAATTGAGGTTCAAAATGGTTATGGATTTGCCTAAGGTCATATAGCTTATAAGAGACTGTTCTGGTTGGAATCCTATCATGCTGCATTAAACATATAATGTCATTGGGTCTGGATATAACCTCCTTTATTGAGGGCCCCACATTTAAGGCATGGTAAATAAAATTAAAAGATATTTGTGTTTTAGGTAAAGATTTTACTAGCTATAGTATTTTTTTCATATTTAAGGTATTCATATCTTTCCTTATTCTAATGCAGATGCTAAGTCTTGTGAAGCTACTTGATTAAAATGTATGTGTTATGTTATATATAATTTCAGTAAGTGCTACTGTACTCTCACTAGCTAGTTGTTATTTCTACATTGTCCCACAACCAAGTATATCATGCTGTGGAACCAAATTTTCCCCAAGAATAGTCATAGTAACTACCATTCATGATCATATAAAGTGTTTTTTTTTTATTGAAGTATAATTAACATACAGTGTTATGTTAGTTTTAGGTGTATAATATAATGATTCAACAATTCTATGCACTTTTCAGGGCTCATCTTGATATGTGTACTCTTAACACCTTTTATATCACTCGTCTCCCTACCAACCTCTCATTTGTCAACTACCAGTTTGTTCTCCGTATTTAAGTCTGTTTTTGTTTTTTTTGGTCTCTTTTGTTTTGTTCATTTGTTTTGTTTCTTAAATCTATAAATTAATTTCTGATCCATACAACCCTGGGTTAATTGTTATTGCTTAAATAATGCAGATGAAAAAAACTTAAATTTAGACTATAAGTGGCTTATATAAATAAAGTGGTAATTTGGCTAGATCTGCCTAGCCTCAAAGTAGATTTTTTTTTTCCTTCTTGAATTACAAGGTTCCTAAATAAAGATCATTATCTTGTTAGGTTAGTGACTGTCTCAACCAGCTTGATTTAGTTAAAGGGATTTAGGTTTTATTTTTATTTGGGTACTATGTTTTAATTTTTGCTAACATGTAGAATTGCTAATTTAGAAATTTATAGCTATTGAAAGAAACAGTTGTTTTTTTCACATGATTCTTAGCTGGCTAGGTTATCCATAAGGAACATTTGAGCTTCTGTGTATATGTAACACTTTTTAAACTGTTCCATTAGAGGCTGTTCATAAGAGTACTTAAGAAATTTGGTTAGGGGCACCTGGGTGGCTCAGTTGGTTAAGTGTCTGACTTCGGCTCAGTACAGATCTTGGTTCATGGGTTCAACCCATTTGGGCTGCTACCGACAGCTCACAGACCCTGGAGCCTGCTTTGGATTCTGTGTATCCCTCTCTCTCTGCCCTGGGCCACTCATGCTCGCTCTCTCTCTCTCTCTGTCGTAAGCATGAAAAAAAAATTAAAAAAAAAGAAATTTGGTTATATTGGTGGACTTAGTGATTTTTTTCTTTTTCTTTTTTCTTTTTTTTTTTTTTTTTTTTACATCTAGAGACACTTATGCTAACTATCCACGTAGTTCATCTTTAGTGTGCGGTTTTTTCAATCTTGGCACTACTGACATTTCAGACCAGGTGTTTAGACCAGTTGTCCTGTGCACTGTAGGATGTTTAGCAGCATCCTTTACCTCTGTCCACTAGATACCAGTAGCACCACCCGCTGACCCCCAGTTGTAATGACAAAAATGCCTGAGAGTCATAATGACAAAAAAAGGCTGAGAATCACTACTCTATGTAGTGAATTTTTTACAGCTGTAACAAGTGTTAGACCAAGTATTCCATGAGAAAAATCTAAATGAAAGATTAGAAAGTAAGTAACTACTTCCTGGGGAAAACTTTTTCAGCTTCTGGACCACTTCTACTACCAGAGCGCCTTTGTTTTTTCCTGTCTGGCATTCAGCATACATATTATAATGGTATCTGTCCTCCATGTCCCTCCATGAGGATTCTAACTACATAATTATTATATCTCTTGTGTCTAGCAGGTTCTCAATAAACTATATATTGTTGAATGAATAACTGCCTAGATTTTTTTCTGTCCTGATTTTCTAATTGTGACAATTTTATATAGCTATAAAATGTGCTGTCCATATACAAGAAGATCCTTGAAATCTAGCCGTCCTATGTATGGAGCTGTCACGTCATTTTTACACTCCTTGATCATTCAGAATGAACCACGATTTGCTATGTTTGGACCAGGTTTGGAAGAACTGAATACATCTTTGGTGTTGAGCTTGATGTCTTCTCAGGAGCTTTGCCCAACAGCTGGCTTGCCTCAGAGGCAGATTGATGGTAATTTTCATGTTAATCTATAGTATATAATAACTAAAGCACTTTGAACTTGATACTTATGTTGAATAATAAATTAATTTTTAATTAATTACATCTTTGATGTAATGAAATAATAGTAATTTGGTGAATAGGAGCCCCCTCCTTGGTCCCAGTGGGTTGAAAGAATTGATTTACTTTTTTATAAGAGGTGAGCTTTCCTTTATTTTCTCAAGTTTGTGTAATCCAGAATGTAAGATTATATGAAAGTAAGTTATATGTTACCAAGATGTTTGTACAGTATTTACCATATGTTAAAAGAATGTTAACAGCAAAAATCATTCAGCATCTACTGTGTGCAAAGTACTTTGCTATATATTGTAATTTTTAAAAAGACCTCAATTAATACTTTCCTCTTCTTTCTATGAAAACGATAAGTTAGTTGGCATGCAGGAGATATAATAAACATACCTAACAATATAATCTAGCTTATGCTTTCCTCATTCATTTATCGAGAGCACTTATTAGATACTAAAGGTGCAGAGATTTAAAACAAACATCAGCAATCTTTGTCCTGAAGATACTTAGTTTAGGTAAGGGCACAGGCAAGTATGAAGGTGATTCGTGTATGGTATAATTAGCCTCCTGGGTAGAAAGATAAGGGTCAAAGAAGGCTCCATGTTGAACATGATGCCTTATTTGAGTCATTAAGATGAATTAAAAGAGGCCATTAAAATAAGGGTAAAAGTATTATGAGCAGTGAGCACTACATTTCTAAAAGCACAAAATTCTGGATACTGTGACCTTTTGAAGTAGCTCTATGTGTCTACAGTGGGGCTAGGTGAGAAGACACCTGTATGTCATGCTTAAGCATTTGGGAGCTGTCGAAAGATTTTAAGCAGAAGAGCGAGATGATCAAGATTGTATTTAAGAAAGATCTGGCTTCTAAGTGGAAAATTGATTAGAAGAGGCTATAAAGATGTGGAGACTCATTAAGAAACCACTATAATATTGTGAAGAAAGTATGAAGGATACAGTGTTGACTGATTATGTATTGGCAGTATTTCTGATGTGGTTTTCATATTGGATGATGGTGCCATTCACTAGGATAAGGAAACACAGGAGGAGGAGGAGAAACTTTATAGAGATCTGTATAGGGAGAATGACAGCCACTCTTTGGAGTATGCTGACTTTGATAACTCTGGGAGATATAAGTAGAGATGCCCGCTATAAGCAATCCACTTGTGTGGAAGCTGCATTAGGGCAGGCTAGCTTTATTCTTGGCTGTCAGGCATGTAATAGACTGTCAACATGTATATTTGATGAATGAATGAACAAATGACTTTGTGGATTACTCTATGCATCCAGATCTTAAGAGTAAGATCTGGGTTAGAAATCAAGATTGGGAAATCATAGGGTGTCTGTGTAGACTTGAGAGTTTTTGAGTATAGAGAGGAATATTGTGAACCAGGTGCTGAAATCTTCAGTGAATGTTTAGAGGAAGGGGTTGTCAAATGTAATAAATAACATCCTAAATGTCATGGATATCATAAATGATGAGGCTGAGGAAGGGGAGATGGTCCTGCAGCTGAATGGTGTGTCCAAAAAGAGATGAAATTTCAAAGAGAGCTGGTGAGTAATAGGACATGGAAGTGAGGAGTAAAGAGAACATTGACTCCACCTCTTTGTCCTGAGATATGAGAGGATAAGCAATTTTGTTAATTGAGAGTCTTCTGCAAGAAAAGCAGCATTTAAGGGCAGGCCAGTTTCAGATAAGGCTGTGAGGTGGAACACTTTAAGAAGAGGTTGGGGATATGGGGAAATTTGCTGATGATGAAATGTTAATTTTATTCTTCAGACAACAGCAGAAGTGTTTGTTTTGAAAATGCCAATCCAATTATGCCTCAAATGCCACAAGATCAGGGAAGAATAGAGGGATGGGTCATTGGCAAGGTGGTACAGAACAGCATGGAGATCATACTGGGCTGAGGTTAGATGTATTGAGAGGGTAATCTCTGGAAATTAAACTGAGAAAAACAAAAATCAGAGATATAGTAGAATTTGTTTCTTTGATCTCTTTGGGGATCTCTTTGGGGATCTCTTTGGGGAATTTGTGTACCAGACCTGGTGGCCAGGGGACTAGGGTCATGCTTGCAGTCTCAGCCACCAGGGTCTCTACCTATGTGTTGCCTGGAATGGTGACATAGGATGGCATGGCGGGTTTATTTAAGTAACTAGATTGGCTGTAATTCATGGATTGATAATATGAAAGGTGGAGTTGTCCTAAAGAGGTAAGTAAACGTGAGATTATATTAAGTTGTTTTTGAAGAGCGATGGCTTTGAAGGAAAGAGAAATAATTAGATAGGCATTTTCAAGCCATCTCTCCAGTTGCTGTCAGAAGAGTGGACAGTAGGGGACAAAAGTGGATGTAGGAGACTGGTAAAAAGTGATTGCAAAAGTCCAGGTGATAGGTATGATAATTTAGACTAAAAGGAGGGGGTGAGGATGGAGAGAAATAGATCTAAAAGGACATTTACATAGCAAAAAGAAATAGAGCCATAGAAGAAAGAGGAATCTTTTCATAATGCAAGAGGAGAATCAGCTCCTGAGTGTTAACACATCCAAAGAAGGGAAGATGTTAAGAAAGAAGGACAAATGACAATGTTGAATGATTCAGGTAAAGGTAGTAAGAAGCTAGTGTTTAGCTAGGAGTTTTACATATACAGTCTCATTTAATGCTTACAGTATCTCTAGGAAGTATGTATTTCTCTATTTTGATGTCAAAACTTTGGCTTACAAAATATGACAATGTGTGGCAAATGCAGATTATAACCCAAGTCTAATTCCAAATTTCACTATCTGCATATTTCCTCAATTTTCTGAGGTGATACTGGTGAGTCCCCATCAATTTATATGTATATATATATATTTAAAAAAATTTTTTTTTCTTAATGTTTATTTATTTTTGAGAGAGACCGAGACAATGTGAGTGGGTTAGGGGCAGAGAGAGAGGGAGACACAAAATCTGAAGCAGGCTCCAGGCTCTGAGCTGTCAGCAGAGCCTGACGTGGGGCTCAAACTCAGGAGCTGTGAGATCATGACCTGAGCCGAAGTCAGACGCTCAACCAACTGAGCCACCCAGGTGCGCCGACTCCCCATCAATTTAAAAACATTTTCAGAAGGAGAAAAAAGCCATTTCACTGAATGTATACATGGAGTATATGACTAATGAGAAACATAAAAATTGGTAAATGAATCTTGAGGATAGATAGTAGCTGTTATGATGCAGCTGCTACTGATATGATACAGAAGGGAAAGCTCTAAGCCTAGCAGTTCTTTGTTCTTTATCCATAGTTTTATTGCCATATAAATGAAAATTGCATACGGCATCTTTTCTTCAACATAAACATTTCATTTTATTCCAAAGCTGTGTGTAACTTGTCACGGACTTTTTAGTTGCTCATTTTGCTTGCACTGGGTAATTTTTTTCAATCTGATGTTTTTCTATATTTATTAATGACTTGTTTTGATAACTGAAATTTTCTTCTTTAGGTATTGGATCAGGAGTCAGTTTTCAGTTGAGCAACCAACATAAATTCAACATCCTGATATTATATTCCACTACCAGGTAAGGCTGCCTACTTGGTGGCCTACCTGAGGCATCAGGACTTCAATACTTTAGGGGGATGGTGCTTGTTTAGTGTCTGTTTATGTTTTATATTTACATTTTTCTTATAGAAAGGAAAGAGATAGAGCAAGAGAAGAACATACAAGTGCTGTTAACAAGATGTTCAGTCTACAGAATGAAGGAGATGATCAGCAAGGAAGCCGGTATAGTGTAATTCCACAAATTCAGAAGGTGTGTGAAGTTGTTGATGGGTTCATCTATGTTGCAAACGCTGAAGCTCATAAAAGTAAGCATTATCTTATTTTCTTTTTAAGAGCACGTTTCTTTTTTTTCTTTTTTTGCAAAGCAAATAAGACATTTTTAGGCTTTACTGTGACTTTTTAAGAATATGATGGTTAATTTAATAAATGTGATTCTGTGACCATTACTGTTAATAGTGGGCTTTCAAACTTTGATGTGCATTACGATCACTTGGGGAGCTTGTTAAAAACATACCTGCCTGATTCCTACTCTGATGGATTTTAATTCATAGATTTGGGTTGGTTCTTGGGTATCTGTTTTTTTAATGAGCACTTACAGAATTCTGATGCATATCAAAGTTTGATACTATAATTACATAGTATTTCTTTGCTGTGTGCTTCTGCACTTGTTATTGATGTTTTGTCTGCTTCTGGTTCTGTTCAAATAATTTATGCAGATAACTGAAAAATTTTTACCTTTGTTTCAGTTGTCCAGATAGATGTGTGGGGTGGAGTATTTAATTAAGTAGATTAGTTAACACTCACTACATATTCAGAATAATTGCCCTTCACATTGTTATTTAGGCATAAAATCAGAGTATTACTGGGTCACAAGCGAGTATTATAATTTTTCTCCAAAATCTTTTGTGAATAAGTTAGGGCATGAATATATAATACATTGTCCTCACTCAGAACAAGGTAGCAGTAGCCACTCAACTGCCGAAAGAATTTAAAGTTTATGATGCACTGAAGTTAACCACAGCAGCAAAAGCTAAGTCCAGCTCAACTACTGACTGGTTGGACTCAACCACTGCATTAGTCACATAACAGAAGAAGCAGCATGCCCATGTCTGGGAATAGATTTTCTTTACCTCAGTCTCTACTGTTCTTTTACATAAAACATTTAACATTAAATTAAAAATTATAAGACACAAAAAAATAAAAAATGACCCATTGTCCAGAGACAAAGCAATCAGTGGAATCAGACCCAGAGATGACCCAGATGTTGCCACTCTCAGGGACATTGAAATAACTATGATTAATATGTTAAAGGATCTAGTGGAAAAAGTGGAAAATATGTGTGAACAGATAGGGATTTTCAGCAGAGGAGGAGGAAGTTATGAAAACATAAAATGGGAATGCTAAATGTGAATATATAACAGGTGAACGGGAAACAGGTGAACAGTTTCCTTAATAGATTTAAGGAAATAAACCTTTGGTGAACCTGAAGATAAATTAATTGAAATTATCCAAATTAAAACATAGAGAAAAGAGGAGTGGGGGAGCATCTAAGAACTGCAGAAACCCATCAAGGGAAACAACTGAGGGGTCAGCATACTTTTTCTTAAGAGGCCACATAGTAAATATTTTAGGTGTATAATAAGCCATATGATCTCTCACAGTTACTCGGCTCGGCTGTTAAAGTGCAAAAGTAGCCATAGGGAATTTATAGTGAATAGGTATGACTGTTTTAGAAAAAATTTATATTTATAAAAATAGATCCATAGAATGTAGTATTGCCAATCCCTGATCTAACTCATGTGTAACTGATCTTCCCAAAACATGAAGAAATAAAATAAGGAAAAAGAGATTTTTGAACAGATAATGGCCAAATGTATTTCAAAATAACAAAAAGACAACAGACCATAGATCCAAGATACTCAGAGAACTCCAAATAAATAAATAAATAAAATACATAAGTAAAAACTACATCTAGATACATTATAGCCAAACTGATGAAAACCAAAGACTAAGAGATTATCTTGAAGGCAGTGAAAGCAAAAGGAAGCATACATAGAGAGGGCCAAAGATAAAGACACAGAATTCCTGAAAGAATTGCTGAAGGCAGTGAAGGGAAGTCTTTACAGTATTGTAAAGCAGGAAAAATCTTACATCCAGCAAAGGTACCTTTCAAAAATGAAGACAGAATCAAGACTTTCAGACAAAACCTGAGAAAGTTCATTATCTGCAGATTTGCATTACAAGAAATATTAAAGCAAGCTCTTCAAGCAGAAGACTGTGATACCAGATAGAAAATTGGATCTTAAAAAAAAAAAAAGGAGCCCTGGGATGGCTACACTGTTTCTATATATATATATATACATATATCTCCATATGTATATATGTCCATATATATATATATATATATATATATCCATATATATACTTTCCCTTAATTTAACTTTTTTATAATTATGTGAAGGAAAAATAATAACAATTATCGTGGGGGCACCTGGGTGGCTCAGTCAGTTGAACGTCCGAATTCGGCTCAGGTCATGATCTCATGACTCGTGAGTTCGAGCTCCACGTCGGGCTCTGTGCTGACAGCTCAGAGCCTGGAGCCTGCTTTGGATTCTGTGTCTCCCTTTCTCTCTGCCCCTCCTCTGCTTGCATGCTGTCTTTCTCTCTCTCAAAAATAAAAAAAAAAAAAAACATTAAAAAAAAAATAATGTATTGTGGCTATATGATATTTTTAAGATATATAATAATACAAACAGCATGGAAGAGAACAAATGGATATTCACCGGTACAAGGTTCTCCTATATGTAAAGTTGTATAATACTAAGTAGACTGTTACAAGTTAAAAATGTACATTGTAAATCCTTGAGCAACCACTAAAAAATGTGTGAGAGAGGTACAATTAAATAAGTCGGTAGTTAAGGTAAAATGGAATCATTACAAAACACAGTCCAAAGAAGGTAGGATAAAGGAACAAAGAACAGATGAGACAAGTAAAAAAATCTAAGAGATCTATGATAGATTTAAATGGACCCTGTTGATAATCACATTATAATGTTCATTCATTTTCTATTAATATATAACAAATTCTCTCCAACCTAGTGGCTTAAAACAACACCTGTTTATTAGCCTATAGTTCTCTATATCAGAAGTTTGCACAGCATGGTTGGGTTCTCAGCTTAGGGTTTTACAGGCTGAAATCAGGGTGAGATGGGTTACATCACTTTCTGGTGGCTCTGGGGAAAAATCTGCTTCCTAACTCACTGAAATTACTGGCTGAATTCCGTTCCTTACTGTTGTAGGACTGAGCTGTTTTCTTACTGACTGTCCGCTGAGGCTGAATCAGCTTTTAGAAGCTATCTTCATTTCTTGCCTTGTGACTCCCTCTTGTCTTCAGATCCAGCCAATACAGAATCTTTCTCACCAAGACAACTTCATCTCTTCTCTTAGGTCAGCTTCACTGAGGATAATCTCTCATTCTTGAAGTCATATTTGTCTTATCATGTAGTCTGCTCAGGGCAGTGATATCCCATCACTGATTCTAGATTCCTCCCACACTTAAAGGATAAGAGATTATACATGAATGTGTACAATGGTGTGAATCATTGGGAGACCTTTTAGAATTTTGACTACCTCACAATGTCAATGATTTATACACTCCAAAGAAAGGCAAAGATTGCTAGTTTTAATAAAGAGCTGGATTCAACTATATGTTTAAATTGTTTAAACTAAGGCCTTTGAAAGAAAGGGTAGTTTTAGCTACAAAATTTGTGAGAGGAAAATATCTATATCAAAGTATTTTTATTTTCAAACTGTAAAGACATCTGAATGGTATTGTGACTATTTTTGCCCTCTAATATTACCAAAATTCCTATCCTTGAAGACTACTTAATGTAATTTTATGATAGATCATAAATGAACAGCTGTAAATAGCAATATAGGCACTTTATTATGTTTGGATCCTGGTAATTTTTTTTTTATTTCCTTGTTTTGTTTATTTTAAAAATCACAAGTAATGCAAATTAAGGGTTTGACTACATTCTCTAGGACATGAATGGCAAGATGAATTTTCTCGTATTATGGCAATGACAGATCCAGCTTTTGGATCTTCAGGAAGACCTATGCTGGTTTTATCTTGTATTTCTCAAGCAGATGTAAAAAGAATGCCTTGTTTTTATTTGGCTCATGAGCTGCGTCTAAATCTTCTGAACCACCCATGGATGGTAAGGTCTTACTTTCTCTGGTGAGAAAAATCTTATTTTTATTTTTCACTATTCTCTATTTGATTTTATTCTTTCCTACTCATTCTCTTTAATGAAATCACATTCTAAAGTTAGTTTTAATAGCTTAATCAGTGGGAGATAGTCAGTTGGTATCACTGTTTCACCTGATCAATTTGTTCTCTACTTGCCTTTCCTACCATAGATACAGTAAATCAGTTGGCCATTTTTTTTTTTGACGTTGGTGTCATGTTTTTTTTAAACATGAATGTAATATGCTCTAACAGTCATCAAAAATACAAGTTCTATCTTACTATTTCTTGCTTTCCAAATTTTATTTTACTCATGGAACACTTTCTTCAATGAAACCTTACATGAAAGCTCCTAGGTAAAATAAAGAAAAATTAAAATTGGAAATACTTATGCTTAAAAAGTTACAGGATTTTCTTCCTTCCTCCCCCTACACCTTCCATGGAGCCCTGAAGACTCTTTGGAACACAGTTCGAAAACAACTGATAAAGGCGTCCCTTCCTGGGTGGTGGGAGTTTTAGTTTACCATTAAGAAGAGTGGCAGTCTTTTAAAAAAAATTTTTTTTAATGTTTATTTATTTTTGAGACATAGAGAGACAGAGCATGAACGGGGAGAGGGTCAGAGAGAGAGAGGGAGACACAGAATCTGAAACAGGCTCCAGGTTCTGAGCTGTCAGCACAGAGCACGACGCGGGGCTTGAACTCACGAACCGCGAGATCATGACCTGAGCCGAAGTCTGACGCCTAACCGACTGAGCCACCCAGGCGCCCCAAGAAGAGTGGCAGTCTCAAAGACACGTTTTTGCAGCTGGATATCACATTTATCATCTGAGTAGCTGGATTCTTTCAAAAATGTTTTAGTTTTCAAAGTGGATATGTTGGAGAATTTTTTTTTTTTTTCTGATACAAACAAGTCATTGAAATGATCGTTCTTCCCATTCCCAAAGCTGAGTTCTAAGATACGTAATAAGCCGTATATTGGTAATAAATTATAGACATAAGAGAAGATCATATTTTTTTTATCTAAGTTACATAGAAGACAAAATTTGAATGACTCACCCAAAGTTTATTGGGATTTTTTAAACTGTATTCTTTTGTTAGTATCTAGAAAAATGTTTCTTTTAATCATAAGATTTTGGACTCAGTTTCTTACAGTGATCTCTCTTATCTGCTCATAGGTCCAGGATACAGAGGCTGAAACTCTAACTGGTTTTTTGAATGGCATTCAGTGGATTCTTGAAGAAGTAGAGTCTAAGCATGCAAGATGATCCTTCTTTTAGACCTTGAGAACTGAAACCATTTGAAACCTGTTACTGAGGTCATGATGTGGATATTTGCTCAGTCAGCTTATTTTGTCCTGCCTTTTTGCAGGTGGGCTTTATGTTGGAACCGCTGTAGCTGCTATGTTTTTTACATAATTTTTACTTTTTACCTTAAATCAATTACAAGAAAAAACTTTCAGTGCTAGTATTTAGCCTTAAAATGAACCCTTTAAGATTTTTTTGATAACTTTTATATTTTTCTTTTTTAAAATATTAAATTCTAGAAAAAACAAGTTTGTACCTCTGTCATTCCTTGTGATTTCTCTTTTCAGTTCAGAGATTGCCCTGGTGGAAAATACCAAATTTGCCAAATTTTCTATAGGTTCTTTTCAAGGGTCCTTAACTGGTTATCAGAAGTTTTTATGTATTCTTAATAAATATATTGCTTATAGGCTGGAATATTCTTTGGAATTGCATTTAATATTATGGTCATACAACCTCTGGGTTTTCTCCTGAGACAGTAGAAATTAACTTGGTATCATATTTAATGCTAATTAAGTGAAAATAACTTTCCTGGAAGTTCTTGCTATTTCAGATAACTTTGAAGGCTCATAAGGTTCTAAAGTCAAATTGTATTCCATCCTCCTAGAGAAAACATTCCATTAAGACATGTTCATAAGACTTCCTCACAAATTGCACTTTGCAGAGGAAATGTTACAGCTTTCCTGTCACATTGGAAGGGAGGAATTTTAAGATTGTAATAAAAAGAGCATAGTATTTGGGTTAGCATTAGGGTTAGTGTTAAAAAAAAAAGTGTAGTAGTATTAGTGGCACTGGACCCAAGATATAGCCTACAACTTATGAGTGGGTGCTACTCCAAAAAAGGTAACTCCTGTGTCTTGGGTACACTCATCCAGAACTTGGTTTCAGCAGCATGGTAATCGGGGGCTGGATGGGAAATGCTAACATCCTGCTCCTGGGAAGATATTTCTCCAACTTAGGTAGTATGGTTTTGCTTCCTTGGCTGCCACAGTCTAGATTGGCGTTTCCATCTTGCTGAGTTAGAGGAGGGAAGGAGGCAGTGAGTCTTGGCTCAAATCCCAGACACTTGATGTTCTTATTGAGTTATAGTGGACTTTTAAAAAATGCTTCTTCATTTACTGTATGCTTTGGGGACCATTTACAGAGTCTTTAAATGGTGTTTGTTTAAAAATAATTTTCTCCAGTTTGTCTAGGGAGATATTCCATGGAATTCCTTATGTTATTATGCCAATATTTCCTTTTATTATTTGTAGTTTGTCACCTCATTGGTTTCTGATATTGGTAACTTATGTCATTTTTCTTCTTGAGCAGTCTGGCTAAAATTTTATTCTCAAACACCTTTTGGTTTTTATTGATTTATTCTGCATTTCATTGATTTATGCTCTAACTTCTCTTTTTATGCTTTACAATTTTTTTGAACTTTCATTTTCTCTTTTCTAGTTCCTTTTTTTCATTTCTATTATTTAAGATAGAAATTTAGGTCATTGATTCTCATTTTTTTTTAATCATTTAAAGCTATCTATTTTCTCCTAAGCCCTCTATAGCAGCATGAACACATTTTGAAATATTTTGTATTTATTATTATGCAGTTAAATGTATTCTAATGCCTTGAGATTACTTTTCAATCCATGGATTATTTAGTAGTATTGTTTTAGTGTTGTTTAATATCTATTACCTATATATTTGGTAATTTGTCAATATTTGCTATTGACATGTAATTAAATCTCTTTTTTCAGAGAGCACACTCTAAAATTTCAATCTTTTTAAATTTGTTGAGTCTTGCTTTGTGGCCCAGCTTTATGGTCTATTCTGGTGAATATGCTACATGAACTTGAAAAGAGTTTATATTCTGTAGTTGTTAGGTAGAATATTTTATAGCTATCTATTAGCTCAAAACCATTGATAATTTTCAGATTCTATATTGGCTACATTGATTTTTCGTAAAGATTTTATGTTTAATCTCTACATGCAACATGGGGCTCAAACCTGCTAAACTGAGATCAGGAGTCACATGCTCCACTGACTGAGCCAACTGGGTGCCCCATATTGATTTGTATATAGTTGTATCAGTTACCAATAGTCATTAAAATTCTTAAGTATGGGGTGGGAGGGAGGGGAGGGTGGGTGATGGGTATTGAGGAGGGCACCTTTTGGGATGAGCACTGGGTGTTGTATGGGAACCAATTTGACAATAAATTTCATATATTGGAAAAAAAATTCTCAAGTATGATTATAGAATTGCCTATTTTTCCTTTTAACTGTCAGCTTTTGCTTACTGAGTTTTGATGATGGTTTAAGGTGCACATACATATATGACTTTTATTTTCCTGATGATTTGATCCTTCTATCATTATTAATAATGGTCTTTTTGCCGATAACACTCATTGGGTTTGAAACCCATTCTCTAATATTAATATAACCCCTTCAGGATTTAAAAAACGAAACGCTGTTCTCATGGTATATCCTTCAACCTAAATCTGTCTTTAAATTTTAAGTGTGTCTCTTGCAGATAGAATATAGCAAATTTTGCTTTTTCTTTTTCCATTCTGGCAATACCTACATTTTAATTAGAATGTTTAGGTCATTTACATCTAATGTAATTATGGATAGGATTGGTTTCAGATCTATCATTTTATTATTTGTTTATCCCCTCTTTACTATTGTGTCTATTCTTTCTGTTTTGGATATTTCAGTATTTTTTAGAAATCAATTTAATTTTTCTGTTAGCTTTTTTTAGCATGTCTCTGAATTTTTTAGAGGTTGCTCTAGTGATTGCAGTGTATTTCCTTAGCTTTTGAAAGTTTTCTTATAGTTAACATTGTTCCAATTTGTATAATATGTAGAAATGGTGTAACTGTGTAAGTTTTATTCTTCTCACCACTCTTTGCTACAGCTGTTAAATGCATTATACCGGCACATGTTATAAATCCCAGAAGACAGTGTTAATAGATTTTGCTAAAACAGTCCATATATATTATAAGGAAATTAAAAGAAGAAACATTTCACAAAATAATGAAAGTGGTCTTATATTTTTTTAAGACATATAAAATACTTGGTTGACATTTTTATTCTTTCAGCCCTCTCAAGATGGTTTTTTGTTCTCTTCTAAGCTTTGTAATTTCTGATAAAAAGTTATTTAATAATTGCATCTTTATTCTCTTGCATGTAATTTACCCCTTTTTTTCTTCTTTCATGTTTACTTTTTATCTTGGCTTCCAGCAGTTTAACTACAGTGTGCCTAGATATGGCCTTGTTTATTATTATCCATCTTGGGAGTTACTAGGCATATTGAATATTGAAATTCATGTCATTCACCAAGTTTGTGAAATTTTTGGTCACTATTTCTTCAAATATATTTTCCTCCCCATTCATTTTTCCTCCTTGGGTCTATATTGTATAACACATGCGTTAACATAATTTGTTATTATTTTAACCTGTTTCTGAGGCTTTGCTCATTGTTTTCAGTGGTGTTTTTTTTCTCTGTTATTCAGTTTGGATAATTTCAATTGATTTATCTTCAGGTTTTCAAACTCTTATTTTTATCTATGTTTTGTTAAATCAATCTTGTGATTGATTATAATTTATTATTTTATTGGTTCTATAGTTTCCTTTTGGTTCTTTTTTTTTTTAATTCTATTTTTCTCAGATTTCCTTTTTTTTTTTTTTTTTCATTAAGGGCATATGTTCCTTTACATCAGTGAGAGTGGTTGTAATAGCTCCTTTAAAATCCTGTCTGGGGCACCTGGGTGGCTCAGTCATTAAGCGTCCAACTCTTGGTTTTGGCTCAGGTCATGATGTCATGGTTTGTGAGTTCAAGCCCCGTGTCTGGCTCTCTTTTGACAGCGTGGAGCCTGCTTGGGATTCTCTCTCTCCCTCTTTCCCTCCCCTACTCTCTCTCTCTCAAAATAAATAAATAAACTTAGAAAAATTAAAAAAAAATCTTGTCTGCCAATTCCATATCTGGAAGGGCTGGTTTTAAAGGTTGGTTTTCTTTTATTAAAGGAATGGGTGCCATTTTCATTTCTTTTGTATCTTGCAGAATTTGTATTAATATGAATGATAAGTTGTTGAGACTCTAGCTTCTGCTATTTTTTTCCGGTAAGTGTTATTTCTGTTGTTTAAACAATTAACATGGTTAAACGTAAATTGCAAACTCTGTTTCTTGGGCAACAGTTCCACATTCAGTTTATCTTTTTTCTCCAAATGAGCACCTTAAGTTGGTCTTTCACACAAAGTTTAGCCAAAGATATAGACAGAGAATTTAGTGATTTTTTTTCCCCTGGAGTTTTCTTTTCTGAGATGACTTCTTTCTTGGCCTGAACAAAATCAAGACATTTTTCTGCTTTTCAGATCTGCTCTCTTGTCTTTTCCCAGAATTCCTGTTGAGGGCTCAACAGTTTATTTTCACATTTGGAGTTCTTACATTTGCAATTTGGTATATCAAACATAGTGTCATGAAAAGTGTCAGTGTTGGGAGGTGCTTAGATGGCTCAGTCGGTTGAGCATCGGACTTCAGTTCAGGCCATGATCTGGCAGTTTACGGGTTTGAGCCCCACATTGGGCTTTGTGTTGACAGTGTGGAGCCTGCTTGGGATTCTCTGTCTCCCTCTCTCTCTCCCCCTCCCCCACTTGTGTTTTCTCTCTGTCAAAAATAAACATTTAAAAAAAGTGTCAGTGGTATTTTTCTTATCCAACAAAATTTTTGACAGACCTGCTGTTCCACCCACGCGTACCCAGAATAGGCAGTTGGTCCCATAAAAGCAACAGTTCTTTGAGCACTAAAGAGACCTGTTTTATCTTTGGAATTTATTTAGACTTTTTGTACTTAGTGCTCTTTGATGGCTTAAAGTATAATTTTCATTTTATTCTGTTTTCTTATTGCTGTAACGATCATTTGTGACCTACATTCTATCTGAAAGTAAGCAAAATTCTTAGTGGTTTTTATACTGTCTCTTAAACACCTTATAATTTCTAGATCAGTGTTTATTTGTCAAAAAGTTTCTAGCATTATGTATACACAGTAGCTGGACTATATTGATCATTATTATACATTGAGAAGAGTTCTCATGTCTTATTTCCC